ATGAAGTACTGGTGATATTTTGACCCCATCTATACATTCCCGAGAGGAAAAGAGAAAGTCCAGGGACACCCTGTATAGCATATACGCGCCAATTTTTCCCTCCAAAAAGGGGCTCAGTTTGATACGAAAGATATAATTTATAGTTCAGCAAATTGCCACGCGCGGCACTGTATATACAAATCGTAGATGTCTAAAACTAACTCCGTACATTACAAGCCGAGCCATATAATGCTTCCATTAATTGGTATACGAGCACAGTAGGATATACGAGTATGTTTTGACTGATAAGAAACACTATGAAAACATTCAACGAAAGTTTTTTTTTTTGTGGAGGAAAATCAGTTTTTTATCGACTTTTTTGGGAATTTTTATCTTCCACAATCTGAAAAATATGAAAATTATAATGGATAACTTCTCTAATGAAACCACAAATGTGCGGTTGGATCGTGGTGGTGACTCCTTGCATATGTGATATTTCCCATTTATCTATATATACATATACGCTTTTCCGGGTGTTCATCTGCTGTGTATTTTTTAAAGGTCGAGGTTTCGCAATCATCTCAGATGCTATTATCAAGACTTGTCATCGCGCGTTCTTCGTGAGTCGTAACTAATTTCTCATTACTCTTGTGATGTTTTTATATGTTGCTGCTTCCATAAATTACTCATATAGTGCTTTAGTACCTCACTTTTTACATCTGGTACCTGCGTGGTTGTAAAGTTAATGACTTCCGATAATGCCTTTATCTCCTACTAGGCTCATTATCTATTGTTAGTTGTTTCTGGTTATTTTTCATAAATATTGTTTTTCAGATTTCACATTCAGAATTAATAGTAAATTCTCAATCCAATATGCAAATACAACTTCTTGGTACAGAGTTACCCATTGTGCTGGAATGGAAATCTGGCCTTGTGGATAGACTCTAGGCCTCAGGTTCAGTAAACATGTAACCTATCTCTCTAAAACGGTATATGACAAGCTTAAAAAGCTTTATCCCAAACAGGATGTTTCAAAAACGGATATGATGGTTGAATTTTGCGAGACTCTCATTCTTTTTCGGATTTCCTATTATGAAACTGTTTATAGTCTTGTCTTATCTAATTTTTTTTATAAGTGTAATGAGGTCGGCTGGTTGAAGCTTCTTCAAATAAACACAGGAACACTATCTTATTTGATGGATGAATTGAAATCTTTGAAAAACAAATCCTCACCTTGAAGCTCCTATTAGCTCTCATAAAAGACAAAACAGCTTTCTCCTACATCTCCAGTGAACTATACAATGGTCCGCCTCAGGAGTACAGGCATTAATCAAATTATGAATTGAAAAAAAGACTCAAATAGGAGATTAAATCTTCCAAAATTGTCCTTTCTTAGATTCAGCCCTTGCTTGGTGCATTGTTTTTTTTATTTACTACACATACCAAGTCTATTTACTACACATTGCCCCTAAGTTGACTGGTCAACTTTGGGGACTTTTCGTAAGTGACCAACCACCTCTCAGTGAGACCCAACCCTTCTGTCAAATTACATGCCATGACGCCATACCCCATTGACAGTGAACCGCTCAAAATTTTGACATAGACATTTGAGATTTTACATACAAAATTTGAGCATTCTAGCATATGCTACTCCAGAGATATACTAATTGATGCTGGTATTGCTCATGAGTATATTTCATAACATTTTGTTGTTCTACTGCTGTTACCAAACAAATTTTATTTAGTTTAAATTATGTTATGTGACTAACAATTGTGTTATTTGACTGTATTTGTTGTATATTTTATTTTACTGTGGCATTAACATTTTCAACCTAGTGCTCTACTAATGGTACATTGCACTAGCGTATGTGTATTAGATGATGAATAATTTTGTAATTGCTCGATATTGCCAAGTTTTAAATTGAAATATAATACTTTTTTCAATTACTTGAAAATTTAATAGTAGTTCTTTGTGACTCACCATTTGTTCAACACCAAAAATAACAATATTATCATAGGCAGATATATTGTATTTCCATAAATCTCTCTGGTAAAACTTAGTGCAGCTGGCTAGTCCATTTTTCAATGCACTCAATTTTGAATAATAAACCAACCAATGATTCAATTCTACTCCATGTGATACAAATTTGTTCTTAGCAGTCTCTGCAAAAGTTTCAATCCAATCAATACATAGACCTGATGTAACACCAAAGAGTTATCCTAACATTTAATTTATGTAGTTATATTTTTCAAATAATAAAGTATATGGTCATCCCATACATATCCCTGAGCCATTCAACTTTCTCTTTCTAAGATACACTTTGTCCTTGAAGAATGGAACAGACGAATACTGAAATGTTGAAGTGTAACATTGGCCCTAAAATAAATCCAAATACGTTTGTTGCCCACACACCAAAACTATACTTTCTCCGCAATGAGTGTTTCACCAACAAACCAGGAGATGAACTGTGATACTAATTCCTTAATTTCAACTTCATCAATATAAATCTAATAGGATGAACTCCCACTTTTACTTTCATTCACACATTAGTAGTAACAATTACCAGTAACTTTTCAGATAAGATTTTTGTTAACTTTACTTGTGTTATAAATAATGGGCTGTTTGACGACATTTGTCACTATTTATAATTCCCATGCCACACTTTCCTATTTTCAGATCTTAGAGACGATACAGAAGTCTAGTATCATGTTTTAATATCACCAATTTAAGTAATGATATGGCCTTTCTCTACACATTTCTTATTTATGAAATATGATATGCACCACACTGTCTTTAAAACAAGTTTGAATATCTCGACTAGTGTGACCTACACTTTTTTGTCAATTCTCACATTATTGATTCATAAATCCCAGAATTCCGTTTCCATCATCTTGTCATCAGGGTTAGCTAACACTTGTTGAAGTGAACATGATGTTCTGAGACATAATTTGTTCAGTTTTTTGAAAATTCTATGAATCCTATTAGTGTATCTTGGTTGGGACTAGCTAGTGACACTAAACTTCTGGATATTTTTGAAAGTCTGGAAATAGCGAATTGTGGCATGAGAATTATGAACAGCCCACTGTTTATTTTTTTTAAAGCCACTCTCTAGTTTGTACTAGAGAAATCACTGGTGTGTAAAAGTGAAAATGATATAGAGATAGATATAAGTAGACAAAGGAATTAATCTAGTCTACCCCCTAAGGATGCTAACTTGATTGATGAAATGTGCATTGAGAAGAGGATTATAGTCATTTCCCTTGAAACAAGAATTACTGTTTATAAAAGTATTATTCAGCATCATTTAAACTATTGTGTGAATAAATTAGAGCAACTACCAAAACTTCAGAATTGAGAAATGCAAATAACTTGAAATGCAATCGTTATACACAAATTAGTAATATGTAACATTGGGTAGGTTCAATGTGATTCAATGTTTTAAGTTTTCAATGATTTTCATCAACAAATAGCATCACCATATGTATATGACTCTGTTACATTCAAAAAAGAAGTTAACAAACAAATTACTCTAAATAGGAATGGATTACATTTTTTACAGATGTTATATTTCCTACTCAAATTCATACAAAAAAAGAATACTTCAATAATATTGGTGTACTGGTAATCAAATGTAGAAAAGTATTTAGGTTGCACAAGTTTTGAATTCACAGAATTGCTGTTTGTATGGGAACAACAGCAAAGAACATGCAAAGAAGTTATTGCCTAGTGAAAGGAATTTAAAAAATGAAAAATATTTTGTTGTTCATTTCGCACAAAATTCTAGTTCCAGATATCATGCCACAAAAAACCAACAATTTCACCTTCCAAAGTTCTTTTTCTTAATAACTTCTTTTCTACATGTTTGCATATTTCTTCAATGTCTTTCTTATCGCGTAAGTCCGAAAAATATAAAAAATGCTAAATATTTCAATTTTAAATATTTCTATCCAATTGCCATTGAAACATTTGGTAGCTTTGCTTCCGATTTTTTCAGGGATATTGGTCGAAAAATAATTACAGTAAGAGGCGATTCTAGAGCAAGATCATTTCTAATACAACGAATCAGCATTGCAATTCAGAGAGGAAATGCTGCATCAATCCTTTGCACTATTTCTCCTTCTCAAAGTCTTGATGAAATTTTCTTTAGCCCACAAAACTGGTCCGATATAACTAAGTTTCCTGATACTATAGATTTCTCCCCAGCTTCTTCTGTTAAAAATTATCCAAACGTTAATGAGAGTAAATCAGACTTCAGTTCTAAAAAAAAATTGTGGAAGAAGACTTAACAGGCAAACTCAACACTAACAATTTCAACATCATCATGAAAGGACAAATGTAGAAGAGAAAAAATGTTCAAACCCAGGAAATTTTTGCTGTGATTCAACAAACAGCCGAATCTGCACCTTTTGCCTACTACCCGCACTCTGTGATCTTCCCGACGATGAACCACCATCATCCGCCTATGTCTGAACCTGTCAACAATTTCGACGAAGTCGCTATTGACCAGGACGCCGAAAATGAGTTCAACGACAATCTTCCCATATGCCCCTTCAAGCTCCCACCAGTTCGTAAACTTCACTAACCTCATTATTTAAAAGGTTGAGATAACCGACGGATGATAAATTTTCCCTAAAGAAAAATGGCCCAATTATTTGGTCATTACCATACATTAGTTTTAAAGGAATACTGATCACCACATTCAACTGAAAAATTGGGATTTTCTTGGGCCCACCATCGGCAATTTTGAGAACTTACCGTTCCATTTGAAGAGAACGTTGCCTCATCTGTCCATAAAATTATTATTATTAAAAGCATCCTTACCGCCCTAGTTAGTGTTTATAAATAATCTGTAAATACTGAATATTGAAATTTTAATGTAATTTCAACTGTAGTATTTTCATTAATACTTATTGCAGTTTTTGAGTTGTGTCTGCTTTTTCAAAATTGAAGGTACTGACGTTTGTTTAAGAAAATAACCAAGTGATTGAAACTTTGCACCAGTCATGTTAAAATTTTTATAGCACATTTTTAATTTCTCTCTAAAAATGTCCGTATGAGTAAAAATTTATCATAAAAGTTAAACTCCATGATGACTTTGTTATGTATACATGAATTGATGACAATTAACCGAACTTGTTTTTTAAAATGAAGGGGGATATTTGTCAAAAATAAGCAAAACGTTAACTTTATCCTAGTTGCATAAAATTTGGCATATGGATATAAAATTGCCGTAGACACAACTTTTTCAAGTAACTTTTTCTTAAATTCGATCTAGAAATGCACTTTTTCAATTAAAAAAAAAAAGTTGAATTTGACAAACACTGAATGTCAATGGGTCGCAGTTGGCCGCATCATTTTAAGTTAAATTTAAAGCACAAACAAGTGCCGAAGTTTAACTTCATTGAAACTTTTCGAAAAAAAAGTTTTCCATATGGTGCGCACTTTATGGTGACACTGTATATGATCGACGGTAGGGCAGTGAACTTGCAGCCAAGGGGTCTGCTTAGTCAAAACAATTACGGTTATATCAACTCGATTTTGCAAGCCCTGATCGTATGTCCACCACTCTACAAATTACTAAACAGTCTGAGTAAAAACAACTCTTCGATCTAGAGAATGACATCTATCCCGGTTATATTTGGAATGTGCCGTTTTGTGTAACAGTTTGTTCACCTACCTTTCTACATTTTGACGAAAGACGGGAGAGTAGATAAAAATTCCAAGAATGACCAAAATGTTTCAATCAACACTGGCATCCCATTCGGTCCGACGTGGATTTATAAAATGTTGCATAACATGCGGACTGACTGGATCGATGGTAGACAACAAGATGCAGAAGAGTTTTCAGGTTTTCTTTTGAATGGACTCAATGATGAAATGTTTGAGCTAAATGAGTTGGTTAAATATTATATTGAAGATGAAAAACCTCTCATTGACTCTGCTTTGAGCAATGATTCAAATAATGTATGGAACATAATGGAATCGAAAAATAAAGGACATCCAACCAGAAGGATCGACTTTACCAGTACACCGATAAGTGACATCTTTGGGAGGCAACTAAAGTCGAGCATTCATCGCAACGGGGGCCACATTACTGAGAATATCCAGTCTTTCCTTACCCTGCCACTCAACATTGAGAAAGTGAAGACTGTCCTAGAAGCGCTTAAGGTACTCGTCTCCAAGAACAATTTAGAGGAAGTGACTTCGTCGAAAACAAACGAGGAGGTCGAAGCGAAGGAGCAAATTACGCTCTGCAAACTTTACGTTATCCTTATTTTGCATCTGAAAATTTTCGAATACAGCCACGACCGTTGCACGAAGATTATCAAGGCTTTTGATTATGAATTCGACTTGAAGATTGATTCGACTTTGGTATCATCGGAAACACAACCTCTAACAGAGAAGCAATACAAGCTATTCGCCGTCGTTTACCACGAAGACAAAAATGCTAACATTGCACACGACGTGACCGATGATTTCCACGTCGGCTACAACTGCTGGATTAGATACAACGATTCTTCGGTCAAGACTGCAAAAAGAAGACGTATTGAAACCCCAGGGAATACGAGTTCTTTATTTGCTGTTCTACAGGAAAAGCAATATGATCCTTTCTAAATAAGGTTGCTGCTTTTACGTAGAGTTCAGCGTCTGGAATCTTACGGAATTTCTCTTTTTAGTTTTTAATGAATTTGATATTTTTTGGTTTCAATGATTTATTCTTTCATTAGTGATAGGTATTGTCCAATTTTTACTGATGTATGTATTTCATTTATATATTATATTAATTTTGAAAAAATAAAAATGATATGAATTTTCCGATTTTAGAAATATCGATGTACAAGGATCACCTGTATTGCCGAATATCATTACCATCTAACACAATTTAAGAGCATTTGAAGGAAAAACCCTGAATGAAAACACAATTTTAAAAAATTGGCTTGCTTTCAGTGTAACCAATTTCTCTAGTTACTGAATATTGATACAATGTATTTCAAATGAAACGATGTATATTTCTGTTGCTACTGTTTCAAAAACCCTATTATAGTCACCCAAAGGCCATTACCCAAAAATAATATTGTTTTTCGTATTTCTATGAATATTAGCACGAATGTATACCCAACATCCAGAATTTCAAACAAAAGTTATTGAGTGACATTATTCATAATTATTGGTCAAAAAGGATGCTTATGCATTAAAGGGGATTTGTTTCAATTTTGATAAGAGACGGGTGAAACTCAATAAGAAGTTTTATTAAGGAAGACATATGAAGATTATTGAAGTCACTGGTGAAAGTGGGTCTGAGCTTCATTCCTGAAAACAGGTTTACTGTACGAGGATGGTGTTGTGATAGTTATTTTTCATTTCGGTAATACCAAGATGAATTTTATGTTTTTTATGCATCAATGGAACAGTAACAACCTATTGTAATTCAAAATAACTTTTATTGAAGTATGGAACCTTTGATTTCCAACATAACCACCATTATTGAAAGAACAATGAAATTTGAATTTCACTTGTGGTTTTACTAAAAAATATATTAAAAAAATTACTGTAGTAATATAGTTTCTATAAAGTTTTGAATCGCTCGATATAAATCATTTAGCTGAAACTTAAATTTTCTTCAGATGATTGGTCTGCTGAAATCTGTTTTTCCGATAACCAAAAGTCAAAAATTGTGCGAGCTGGTGATTAACGGGGTATTACCTTTCAACATGTGATTCCTAGCATGTCAAAAGGTATAATACTCGAGGCTTACACTGTCTGTATAATAGTTTTGAAAAATGGAACATTACCAAATTATACCTAAAACGACTCTACCATCACCAGAGCCCAGATCAAGCAATGTACCAGAACGGCCTTCAAGTGCCAAAAGTATATTTTTTATTTGGTTGTTTGTAGCAGGTACATATGGTAAACAAACTTTACGCAGTGCTGGAGTTATAAAAGGAATACAAATTACGGTTACACCAAAAGCTATTCCACCTGAAAGGTAAAAAAAAGTTTATTTGGTAAGATACTTGATAATATTCAAAATACCTGTGATTCCTACTAGAAGTCTTCCAAATGAAGATACTTTTTTATGTTCATTAATCTCAGATCTATTGAGGGCGTTGAAAAATTCTGAAGAATTCATGTAGAACTGAATAAGAATATTGTCTATGAAAACGAAAATGTATTTTCTTCAGGGAAGTTATTATTCATAAATTCAATATCTTTATTCGGATTAGCAGTTTGGACGATTCTAGGACATACTTCACTTCACTCAAAGTTCTTGGCCTTTGCTTCCCTATAGGCGCATTTAGCCAGCTCGATTCATTCTAGGACATAGTTACACAGCTGATTTTTTAGAGTAGACTCGCGCACAACTTTTAGTGTCAACACTGTCAATTGTGAATTTGACTGTTCGAGGATCAAGGACAATTCAGATAATGAACACATAAAATGATTTCGAATAAACTTTAATAACTTCACGACAAAATATTGCTCAGGATTGCCTATTGCTTCAACCATTAGATACATGTAAAGCGTAAACGTTCCGAATGGACCAATATTCAAGTGGTTCACTCGTCGGTGAATTTAAGAACTCGTTTTTTGATATTTCATTTGTATCATAATATCATAATGTGAGGGTAGAGGTAGTATGTTGCCAACGATGTTTCTTGTCATAAGACGAGTTCTCAAAGATGTGTTCCAAAAATGGCCAGAAATATTGTTTGGTGGTACTAAAATTACCATTATGTGGTACTACCACAGATTAAATACTGTGGTACTACTGGAAAATCGGTTAGATATGAACAGTTTCTTAAAAACTGGAGAAGTAAATGTCAAAAGACTAACCCTTCATCTTCTTTTTCTTATTTTTCATTTATTGGCATTAACAACCACGGTTGTCCGACCAGTTGGTGACGAAATTCTTTTATAAAACTGAGTGTGGTTACATTTAAGTGAGCATGGGAAAAACTCATCTATGCATAATAATCTTCTCATACTAAGATCTTGTTTCACACGAGAAAGTGAATATTTTCTTAGAGGACTCAAAACTGTAAGAAATGTTCTAGTCGAAAAAAATAAAATAAAGTGATTATTATAATATTGCTTGTATAAAAGGAATGTTGTTATTATAGATTTACACATACATATACGTTATGAATCATTTGAAACGGATACCTACTATTTTACAAATTTTACTTTGAAATATTGTATGTCATGATGTTTCCTTTCAGTAAACTAAAATCAATCCAAAAGCTTACATTTGACAGGAAAGGACATATTGGTGATGTGAAGTTTGTAGAGAGATATACCGCAATTAGAATGTCTTTTCAACAAAACGACTAAAGAGCTTGACGATGCACTGAGGTCAAAAGACGCCGCTGAAAAAAATATTTCCTTCGGCTATCGTGGCAACTGAAAGATTAAAATAACCGCATATCCACATTAGACTAGCAAATCTGGGAATTATCTTCATTAATAAATTTTAAAGGAGGTGAATTAGATAGAAGTATAAATGAATTAGAGAGAAGTTTAGATCCACATGTGGATATGATGCCCTGAAATACCCAATTTGATCAAGTGAGCTGCTTCGACTATTCCACAGGTTACCTAAAATCGAAATGTCGCACTGACAAAAATTTGGTGGAAACGTTAGGAATTGGATTAGATTTTGGAGACCATACATCTATTCTATTATTATTATAGAAAAAGAGCTTTCCAGGTACAATATTCGAAGAATTAACGAATTTTATTTAATTTGAACCCATATCGCTCATAACTACAAAGACTTTCAAACCTATTTCATTTTAGTTAATAATAACATCATTGATGAATTTGAATATTTTTTCAGCAGGACATGTTGAATGATGGAGATAATACGATATCGCCTGTTTCCATATAGAGTGTCTACTTCTAATCATAAAAAAAGTTGCATTCAATAGTTCCTTGAAAAATTTAGTATCATCAGGCAAGTCCTCAAAACCTCTATTATTTCATCGGTACCCCTATTGTAAAACAGATTCGCCTTGATAGCCATTTCGTCCACATTTATCTTCTTGTTGCATTGCCATGCATTCCTGCTTGTATTCATTAGAATAATGTCGTCCTTTTGTTTTTTTTCTCAATTGTGACACTTGAATATTTATGAAATTTGCAAATTGAGCCTTATAGTCGTCTAGGGTTATATCTGCTAGAAACATCTTTAGATTTTTTCAATTTGGCCTTCCAACTGTTTTTTTATACAAGCAATTCGATATTCGAAATTTTTTAGTTCTTCTCTCAATTTCTGCTTTCTTGGAGTATCGAAAGACGAAACGGTTGATGTCTGGGATGCGAGAAGCATTCGGCAATGTTTGTTGGTGGATAAGAAAGTTCAATTGATATAGAAAGAATTCCAAGTTCTTCCGATCCGTAAGCACATTCAGTTTATAACATTGGGCGCCAGTTTTATAACGTTGGGCATCAGTTTTATAACCTGCAAAAGCCTCTAAATGTTAGTAGCAACGTTTGGAGGCTGTAATGGGGGGTTTTACTAGTGAAAAATAATGTGGTTTGCTACTTTCGGAGAGTGGGTCATGGAAAAAATAGTCTATTTTGATGCAAGCTGCAAGTAGATGAGTTAACTACAGTGATCCACTCAAATTCGCATGGGGAGATGAAAATGATCATTTGATACCCCTATGTATATATACACACACCAGAGTTTACATACATGCACTAATAAGTTGTAAGTAAATTTAATTTCAACGAATTGTCACGTTGAGGTAATTGTATTTGTTCTTCTAGAATCGTTGATAGAAAAAGCTGCTGAGGGAAGTGAATAGTTATTAGTTGTATAGCTATTTAAAAGAATGCAATTAAATCTATAAGCTTCCCTATACCTTTATAGGCAAAAAGCAGCATTCAATGTAGCCAATAAGCAAGGCAATTCACAAGCAACAAGAGGTGTGCTATTAATATGATCAAAGCAATAGAAATAATGAAAAGAGCTCGCCTGATCAAGTTGTTGCCAGCGTATTTCTTCCTCTAATGGATATTCTCTTCTACGGTACTGGTGTGTTCATAAATTATCTTTGAGATGCTGTGGTAAGTATTGCAGTTGTGATAAATTATCTTCTAGTTATCAGATACTTCTTGTAGTATCGTAACAAAGGTAACGATAAAAGCAAATCGTCAATATGTAACCAAAGAAACGTACAAAGGAAAAGGAATATATAGAGAAGGCCTGTAACAAAGTGGGGTTGTAAGAACAATTATGTGCCAAGTTCTAGTTTTATTGCTAAAAGGTGTCTACTAATATACATCTCAATCAATAGTTGACAAACTAGCGTAAGACGTATCTGTAGACGGTGGTTGGCCTGAAGTGAAGTCTAGATTAGGAAAAAAGAATAATTCAAATCCCATAACACAAAGAACACTTGAAGCACCAATTATTACAAGATAATCACAACTGAGAACTGATTGATGGTAAGTGTTCGAATGACATCTAAATGAAATTGAATATATGGAGCGTATTATTTTCAGGGTACCGAAAACTAGAAACCAATGCATCTCATGGGATTACTATTTCAAAAATTTACATTATTTCTTATTCTCCATATTTTGTTATGACAATGAATAAGCAATAAATAAATGAACATCTAGGTTGTATATGATGTTTCTAGATAGTTCAACGAATATCATGAAAAGTAAATCAACACGTAACAAGTTTTCACTGAAAACGTTATTATAAATATGAATGCATTCTTCATAGGTATGAACTGCTTAAAAACCCTTATAACGGAAAAATAAGGGAACTTTGCGATAGAAATTATATAGTGATATGTATGTAATATATTCTTCTAAGGATAAGTTGACCCTTATCACTCTCAGGTGATAAAGTTACCTCTCAAATTCAAGAAATTATCCCATTTCCAAAAGTTTTCTCGGAAATCATTCTATCCTGTGACCGATTTCGTCATTTGGATGTGAAAATACAAAATCTTCTTTGGTAACCAAGTATGAAAAAACTAAAAGTATTATTGAAAGATTGCGTTCATTATGCGTAGATTGATCTCTGCATTTTTATTTTGAGTTCAATTGCATTTTTTGATTTTTTTTTAATTTATCCTCATTCGGTAAACACATTTCCATCTTTTCATAATGTGTATTACCTTCATGTGTATTAGTCTTAGTTGTATTTGCTTCAAAACGTGTTTATAATATAGAATATTCGTAAATGGTACTCGGTTAAGCATTAAGCAGAGCAGTATTGACACTGGACTTCGGACAAGACATTATTATTATATCTTTGGAGTCAACAAATTACTTTTAATATTGACAATAAATAATCCTGACACATTGAAAGAAATAATTTAGCAAAACTATTTGAAAAAAACTTGAATTTGAAAACTTATCTACAAAATACTCATATATTTTTACCTATTTTGGATCTGAAAGAAGACGAAAAAAACTTTGAGATATGTTTTTGTAATAATTATTGAAACAGTTCCTTGCGGCTCACACACATTCGCCATTAACAACACGCTTCTCCATTTTAAACAAAATATTAACTAAAACACATTCTCACGACGATGGAGCCAACAATAATCGACTGGATTAATGTAATTATCATCATGTCAATTAAAACCACGACGATGCGCAGTTTTTCCCGCCAATAGTCACTTACAATTCTGATTGTTTATTATTTTGTGGTTGTATCATCGAAATGACATAACCTTAAACTATGTTGTATGTGTATCAAGTTATCAAGTGAAGAAGATGCCAATATTTTGCACTTTTATTGTGATTTTGCGTTGGTTGTAAATCATAAATTAGAATAACCAAAAATATGGAAAAAACGGACAACGTGAAAATGAATAATGAAATATTGGCTAGCGTACAAAGAGAAGCTGAGAAAAACAATTTCAAAAGTATCGACTGGAATTTCATTCTGAAATATTCAGACAAGAGTAATTATGAAATACCTCAGTTTTATGATAGAAATGATTGGAAAATTGGAGAAACTTATCGTATGCGAATAGGAAACATCTATGATCCGTCTAAGTTTTGGATAGTTTTGAAAGAACAAGAATTAACCATATTTCAAAAATTCCTCTATAACTTTTATCAGAAATATGGGGAAACCTATAAGATACCCAAAACCAATATTAAAAGAAATCATTATTGTGTTGCGTTTTCAGACGGCGGGTACTATAGAGGATTAATAGTAAATATACCAAATTTTACAACTCTTACTGCTAAAGCAATAGTATTCTTATTTGATTTTGGTTATGTTGGAGTCATAAGAGTTGAGGATCTATATTATTTCAGTGAGAAAATGTTTGATGTTCCCCAGTTTGCTACCCGTGCTTGTTTATATGGTGTGGAACCTTATGAGAGTGATACATGGACTTTGAAGGTTGTGAAAAGG